AAATTAAGATTAATGAGGAAAACCTCCTATAACCTTCTCTTATGGTTGTAATGATAAAGACAGAAGTAAAGACAATTTGAAAAATAAGATTAATGAGATACTATTGTTGTTCCAGTAAAGTACTCTTCAATAAGTGTGTAGTATAGCATTTCAACTGTATCTCATTTGTAGCGTCCCAGCGTGTTCTCACTGATTCAGCTTCATTTAAAGAAACATTGTACATCAAATCTCATTTACTACTGATTCTATTAAAATATTTTGACCAGCATTTTCACATGGAAACTTACTAATACCTCAGATTCAAGACACTTCCTCTACATTTTCCAGATTTCAATGTGAACAAATTTCAAACTTTGACGTCTCAACATGGTAGTATGGATGCATAAGCAACAGCCAACCGCACAAATAAGTAGTGGGAAACTTATATTATTGATGAACACACACTTCAAGAAATTTGCTTCTAATGGCTAGTTAGTTTTAAATTATTTACAAACATCATAATTGTATGCTTGCATACAGAAAACAATATCTAGCAGCTAGAGTTGCAAAATGGTGATTGAACCAGCTCTTTTCTGATTTTTCTAGAAAATTGCCTATAATTTACTATAAGCAAGACTTTTAAGAGCTTTACAAAAGCACAGTGCTGTATCATCCATTACAATATCATGGTAGAAAAGTTATAGCTAGGCATTAAAAGAAATGTACATTTTCATACAACAACACTTCATATATTTAAATAATTGTACATTTTAAGAGTTATGACAACATTAACCCTTAATGTCAACAAACAATTTTTCAAGTATTCCAATTTCATTGGTAACTTTCATTACAAAGTGCATACAGTATGGCAAACACTTAAATCCCATGATAAATAAAAGGTTCATAGCCCAGAGTATTGATCATATGGTTCCATAGAATATATTAATATTATTGAAAATGAAATTTCATTTGAGCTGGAACTTCTTCTTCTTCATAACAACCTTAACCTCTTCTTCTTCTCCACAACAACCTTAATCCCAACTAGTTTGGGGTCTGCCGGTATTTTTGTAAGCCAAGAATTTTTACACCCTTGTGGCCTGCCCAGATAGCAAACATATAGGACGAGCACATTCGGCAATGGAGATTTGAACTTGCAACCTTCAGATTGCAAGTCAAGCACCCTAACCACTAGGCTTGGTCTTCTTGAAGAGGCAAGAGTAAAAATCCAGTAATGGGGTGGAAACCCTCTTAAACACGGGTTTGGCCAAAAGATCCAAGACTGCATCCTCAAAATGTTGACAAAAGATGGAGTTAAGACGGGAAGAGAAAAAGAAACAAGAAGAGGGGAGAAATGAAGAGAGAGACCATGGATGAAAACCTGAAGAACCCACCTGTCTGTATGAAACTGAAACCAAAGATCAGTGAAGAGAAAAAGAAACAAGAAGAGGGGAGAAATGAAGAGAGAGACCATGGATGAAAACCTGAAGAACCCACCTGTCTGTATGAAACTGAAACCAAAGATCAGTGAAGTGAGACAGATGGGCACCCTCTGGGCCTGACCAATAGGATAGTCAATGAAGAGACAAGTTATGAACTAGAAAATAGGAAGAACAGGAAGGCCTGGAACCTGGAGTGGGAATTGTATGGGTAGACTGATCTGGCCAAGGAATAGAAATCAAAGGCAAGATTGAGAAAGATGAGAAGATAATGAAGACTAATGCTAGGCTGCTTCATCCCGAGTCTTTAGTGAATCAGGAATACGACCAAAGACTTCCAGGTGAAGAAAGAGAGCTCAACAAAGAATATGCAGATGAGAAGTTGTGAAGCGGATATTACAAAAGAGAGCAATCTTACGCAACAAGTCCCAACAGCAGAGGAATCAAGTAAGGAGGGGCAGAGCTGAAGAAGTGTTACAAGCTAAAGTAGTAGAGAGTGGGAAATGAACCACTCCAGAAAATCACTCTTGGGCACAATAAAGTGCCCCATACATGAGGTAATGCAGGAGGGTGATGAGAAAAAAGACGAAGACACAAAAACTGGACACTAGATAGCAAAATAGAAGACATGGGGTTCACTCCCCTAGCAGGCAAAAAAAAAGATTCCAACTAAAAATCTAGAAAAGGACAAAACAAGCAAGAAGGTGAGAAGGATGAGGCATGTGATGATGGGTGTGTAGTTGTTTTGAGAAAGGAATCAGGATGAATCCTAATATTGGGCAAGGGAGGAAAAGCAAAGTAATCTTGAGAATTTGTTTCATGACACAGGAAAAAAAAGAGAAAGAAAAGAACATACTTGAGAAATCATATCCACAATAAAATTGGAAGGGTGAGGATTTTCCTCAACTAGTAATGCAGTACCCAAAACAAAACCAAGTGTGGGTAACAGTTGGTCAAATTTATTTTCCTCCTCCTGATTCTCAAATGGAGGTGAAGGAACACTGGCCAGAGGGACAGGAGGAGGAGGCCCAGTATGCATGAGGGAACCAACAACACATTGCACAATTCCTATAATGTCCTTAACACTCAATGAACCTCTTGAAGCCATAATAGAAACAGGTCCTGTGTTTGTAACTTTGTCACCTTTACAGGACAATGTTGAGGTCACTGTTACTTAAGAATTCATTATAATATTCTAAGTTTTAGGTATAATGAAAACCATTTAGGTATAAATGTAATTCTCAATAAATTGAATGTAGATTGGAAAATCAACACATTTGTACAAGGCAATACCAAGGAAAAGAATGAAATTATATTGAGTGCAATAAGGGGAGTACAATATGCTTAAGGGGAGCTACTGCAAATGTAAGTTGTGTTGCCTTCCTATTAGTGGAGTGCACCAGTACAGTTCATGATGAACATGTGAATTATATGTGAGAGTTAGCTCAAGGGTAGTGGTATGCAAGTCTTGTAGGCAGATGTACGAGAGACATAGCTATTCTGGGTGCAGAGTTGGGGTATTGTCTCAGAATGACCAAGTACTTAATGCCAATAGACTGGAAGAAGGTTAATGTTGTGAGCTGACAAAAAATGTGAATAAGAATGAAAAGACAAAGAAAAAGTGAAGAAAAATCTGAACAAGTATATTTAATTTATGGTTTTATCCAATAAACTATTTGTGCTCGAAAATCTGTTTTATCATATTTTTATTAACTATCATCAGTTTGAAAGTAGTTCTAGAAAAAGGGTGTGAAAGGCTCTAAAAAAAAAAAGACTCTTTACCCACTAATCCTTTACTTCCATACATACAATAATTTCATAATAATGCTGATAAAAAATTACATAATATTACACAGGTTCACTTATTGGCTAAAAATCAGTATTATGAAACACTGAAAATTCTACTTGTGTGTAGATGCTTGCTATGTTAGGTAGTGTTGACACACACACACACAAAATAGTTGGAGGTAAGCACAGTATTTTGTGGATTCACAGCATCACTGAGACTACTTCTAAGTCCTAAAAACAAAAAGTGCCAAAGTATAACAAACAAAAACAAAACCCATGGGACTTTTTCTTCACTTTCAATATTTGATGAGCAAGCTTTCAACTCCTCACTTCAAAATCAACTTTTCTCTATAAATACACAATACTGTTGAAATTATTATAACTGTTTCACACTTGTTAGAATTCTGTATATTACACTGTTTCTCATTTGTTAGAAATTAACATTTTCCTACACTGAAAATGTATTTCCAATAGATTCTTACCTCTTCTCACGTAATAGCTTTTCTCAACTTGTACTGCTCTCTATATGCATAAATATTTGCTAAACACTAGCCTTGATACTCCCACCTATCTTCACATTTTCACATGAGGCAGCTGCATGACAGCATTCAAATGAGTATGAGACAACCCTCCACCACTAGGAGTGCAACACAACTAGCACAGCTGACACCCTCTATGCGGCTCAGCTCAACTACGCTTTGAGATTTAGCAAGATAAAAAAAAAGAGACACCAGAAGTGGGGAGGAAGGGCGGGAAGTGTGAGAGGAGGTAAGAATGTATTGGAAATACATTTTTAGTGTGCAAAAATATTAACTTCTGATATGATATCTTATTTCCACTCACATAATAGCTAGAATCCCACATTGAGCTGGTGGAAGGACCAATGTAACATTACCTATATGAGCCCAATTCTGAAAGTGCCCAAAAGAAGCCCATGGGGTGTGTGAATAAAGAGTATGTACAACATACCCATAGGAGACTGCACCACTTCTGAGCCAAGTATACTCTTCAACCATAAAACTGATGTGTCACAAAAAGGGTGGAATTACAGGAGAAACCCCATAATTTAAGGGATCCCTGGTGTAGGGTGGCTAGGGCACAGTGGACCATAAGGGGGAGTTTGACCTTAACCAACACCAACAGTACCATGATAGGAATACCTGGCCCATGGTAGGAAGAGGGTCATCTATCGTTCACCTTGGACACAGAAACAGGAGGGAAAGAAGATCTTCCATTCCAAGGACTTGCATCATCATGTGTGCATGTTCAACACAACCAAAACTAGTAACTCCTGGAAACCAACATCCAAACAACGGTAGGAAGGCAGACAGCAATGTGACAGTTCAACTCCAGTCCAAAACAAGGAAGAACTGGGAATGATTCATCCAGTCCATGGTAAGAGGAGGGTACCTGGGCCTCTCGCATGTGAGGACTTTTGTGACTGGTCCAACCAACATCAGTACTCTCCGGGAACTGACATCCAATGGTAGAAAGGAGGGTGGTAGAAATCATCCAGTCCATAAACAGGCAGCATCTGGAATAGAACATCGGGTCCACAGCAGGAGGAGTGTCTATATACCAGCAGAATACTACCACCCTGCTCTCAACTGAGTGGAATTGAGCACACTGAGGAGAAAACCTCCATGGCCCACCACCCCAACAGCTATGAACTGGTAAATGATAAGGACTCTCATATTCCACTTGAAGAATGAGGGGGATGCATTGGAGAGTCCTGAGAAACATAACAATGTTGTCAGAATGGATTATAACTGACTAGATCTGTAGAATGAGCAGTTATAAAAGATTCATATGCAGAGATGACTCCACTACAGACCAATGGCCAAAAATCTTCTATGTCCAGATATGCACCCAAACCTGAAAGAGAAGCATCTATGAAGAGATGCACCTCTGGATGAGGAACACTTACTGTTGTGTTGTACCTGTTCGACCACTAGGCAAAGTTCACATAAAGGGAAGGGGAGAGAGATGGACAGGGCATGCAAGGAATCCCATATGATGTTTCACTGATCTTATAAAGCCCACTGATGAGGTTGCATGTGGGCTTGATTGAGGGGAATGAGGGCCTCCAAAGAAGCCTACCTCCCCAAAAGAGATAGAACCTGTCATGCAGTTGGAAAAGGAGAGGAGGAAACAGTCTGAACCAGAAGCTCCATAGATTGCAAGTGAAAGGGAGAAGGTTGGGCCTGGCTGAGGTGGGAATTGAAAAATACCCCGAGATGAACAAGATATTGGGAGAGGAAGGACTTCTCCACCTTGACCAGCCAACCTACCTGTGCAGCTTCTCAAAGAAGAAATTTAGTGTGAAGGTATGAGGTGGCATGCGAAGGAGCTAGAAACAGCCAGTCATCCATGTAACAGTGGAAACAAAGGTCCCTGGAATGGAGAAGATGGGCAAAGGCCTTGAACATTCAACAAAAAATGTAAGAAGCCAAATCAAGTCTGAACAGAAGAGCTCAGAACTGGTAGACACAACAAATGCCAGGATGCTGGGGAGATGGGAATGTGGAGGTAAGCATCCAAGACATGTACATACCAGGAGTAAAACCCATTGAAGAGAAAGATATGACTCCATGGTGAATCAAGAAAGGTCAAGGAACTGGTTCAAGGAAGAAAGATCGATGATGGGGTGCCAGTATCTGGTATTCTTGGAGGAAATGAACAAATTGGAATAGAAACCTGGCTAAGAAGGATCCACCTGTTCAACAGCACCCTTTTGAAGAAGGTCAAGAACTAACTCAGGCAGATGCTGGCTGGAAATGGGATCTTGAGGAGGGGAAAGGAGACAGAAGCACTCATAGAGAACCCACATAATCCAAGGGTCCATGGTGAAAGACTCCCACATGGTGGCAAAATGCAAAAGCCTGGCCCTCACTGGAGCTGTACCTACCACATAGTCACTGGGACTGCCAGGGGCACTGAAGACATTCACAAAAACCAACGGTTGACCCCAGAGACCCATAAAGCAGAAACCAGTAAAAGAGAGGAAGGAGGAGACATGGGAATAGATTCAGGAGGAGGTTGAGACATACAGGAAGCCAATGAGGAAAGGGAGGCATGCAAATAGACAGATTCAACTATGAACTCTAATGAGTTAGGAAGGCCCCAAGACATCTTGCATTAAGAAGGGAGCTATATGCAAGTCCTGTAAGGAGATTGGGGTAAATGGATATGGGACAAAAGGGCTTCCTGACCCAAAAGATTCCAAGAACAGAGAAGCCATGTTTGGAGGGAGAGGACAGAGAGGAAAATTGTTCAAGAGTGGAAAAATCAGGGCATGAGTCTCCACCAAGAGCCCTTCAGAAGAACGATGAAAGGCCTCAGACAACATGTGAATTGAGGAAAGGAAATGAAGGAGGGAGGATAAGGTGAGGTGGAAACAAGAGAATTGAGGTTGGGAAAACAAAACTGAAGTATTTGGATCCAAACCCCACATATACAAAAGAGAATCCAGCTACTGCAAGTCCAGAAAAGGAATCTCAGACCAATGGTAAGCCAAAGCATGAGCTTCCATATCATATGGGGGTTGAGGCATACTGACCCCAGAATATAATTGGTCTGAAAACCTATTGGGATGAACCAGTGAGAGGAGGGGGGAGAACAAGATAATGGCCGAAAGATGTCTCACTTAAAAAGGAAGGAGAGGAAATGGGACACAAGGACAAAACATAACAAATCTGGTTTATCAACTCCAGGAAAGGAGAAGGAGGCCTGGGTGCATCCACTGGAGCTAAATGTAACTGTGTAGCATAGAACAGGGGAGGGACCAGGCTGTCAAATCATCATCCACTTTTTCAGATACCCCTGAAAAATGCATAAGTGGATAATCTACAGGCAAATCTGAAGTCTGCATGTAAGTAGCAAACTCCCAGCAAACCAAGGCTGTAATGTTTTCCGCCCATAACTGTGGACTCGAAGCCCTTATAGACAAAATAAAGATAGGACCAGCAGTAACAGTAGTTGTAACATTAAACTCTGAATTCACAATAACTAAGAGTGGAAATAATAAAAAAAATCCATATAAGGAACTAAAAAAAAAACACTTAAGAAATTTAAAGACATGTAATAGTAACTTGTACAAATGAAAAGTTAGAGGAATGACGTGTAGCAAACTAAAAACTAAGTTCTCCAAAATATGTAACTGATTAAAATTTCATGAGTAAAGCTCGAGCAAAAATAAACATCTAAACACAACAAGTGCCAATCAAGAAGTGAAGTTGAACAAAGCTGCAAAGAGGGAGTCAGCTGTGCTAGGAGTTGTGTCACACTCTTGTTGCTCATTTGAATGCTATCATGCAGATGCCTCACGTGACAATATGTGAGAATAGGTGGGAGTATCAAGGCTAGTAGTGAGCAAAAATTTGCATTTATAGAGGGCAGTACAAGTCTAGAAAAGGTATTATGTGAACAGAGTTACGATATCATATCCGAATTCTGTTTATTACACTGTTTCTCACTACTGTGATCTATTACTCATCTTTTGAACAAGAGGGAAGTTGAATCTTTACTTAAAAAATATACAATATTGTTGGGACTATTATGATCCTTTCTCAGTTGTTGTAATTTTATCTATTACACTGTATCTCATTACTGTGATACGTTATCTTGTGAATAAGAGAAAAGTTGGATCTTTACTTAATAAATATACATTACTGTTGGAATTATTACACTTGAAAGTGCAAATTTGTTTTGTTGAATAATATATTACTTGTACAGTATAAACAGCAATTATGACTTATCAAATATTAAACACTGACAAATACATATGTATTATAGCTAATAAAAATTTTAAATCTTTTCTTACATGAATGCAATATAGAGTAAAAGGTCCTCTTCCAGGTTCATGTTGTTGTTCAGTGCTTTTAATACAAATATCGGTAAACAGGCTTGGTAAAGAATCTGACTCTATTGCTTCACTGGCAATTTCTGTGGGTTCTATTTCTCCTTTTTCTTTCTGTGGAGAAATGTCTTGTATGGCTCGGGGCAATGAGTTAGCATTACCTTTCTTTAGTTTATATTTTTCACATTCATTGTCTGTATTACCATCACGAATTGGAAGAACCTGAGTGAGACGAGGAATGACTTGAGAAATTATATCAAGACTTTTAGACCTCTTAATCTGAGTTCGGGAAACAACAGGTTCAACTGAAACAGGCTGATTCTCTTCATCTGGTGATGTTAATAGTACTGTTGGCGTGCCAGGTTTTATACAAGACATTCCTGGTGAAAGATTGAGTGGGTGTTTTTCAGTTTGTTTTGAAACATCCACACTCCAGACTTCCCACTCTGAACTAGGTTCCTTCCTGGTCACTCCTGGACTAGTTGTGACGTTCCGTAGTCGAACTTCTAGGTATTCATTCTCATCATCAGTATCATCTTGGTGTCTAACTTCTTGCCCTGAATTAATAAATGGCTTAATTTTCACTGATTGTAAATCCTTTTTTTTATTAATTGCACCACTTCTTAAGTTCAAGTGTAATTTTACATTATGAGAATCTCTAGTTGTTGGTTCAGTTTCTTGACTAACAGCATCTGAGTCTACATGTCGTTTGGGAATAGATTTGTAAGAGAATGATGAATGATGATCATCAGACACAAAATTTTGATTGCTTGTCATCTCCACAAAATCCCTTTTCCTAATGCTAGAAGTTTCTTCATGTGTTATTTCTTCAGATAAAAAAGTAAAGATGATCCAGTTTAACCAATTGGGATCCCCAAGACGATGGACTAAAGGAAGAAGAACTTTGTGGGCAATTATATCAATCAGAATAGTAGAGACAAGAGGACAGCCAAGGACATCTGGAGGAGCAAGAACCTTAACTATTCCAGTACTGAGAGTTGTAAGATGACTGTGTTCTGCTTCTTGGTTTAACACAGCTGCATGAGTTACCTGAAGAAAAAGTATTACATAAATTAATACAGAGCATATCTATATATGTATATAATCTCTAACACTGGCTGTTCCTCCATCATCTAGATGTTTAATTTCTGTCAGTAGATTGACTAACTATCTAATAACAATAAGAACATTTCATTCAACTAAAGTAAAAAATACAAACTGTCTTTTGATTCCCTATAACAAATTCATATGAAAAACATCTCAATAACTGTACACAGGCAGTTTTTCTTTAAACAGTGAATAAAAAAAAAGGGCAGCCTTTTCAAATTATTGTAATCCCATAACAGCTACAGACATCCAAATATCTGAAAGTGTAATATTTATTACAGTTTTAGCCTGTATCTTTAGATGCTCTGTATATATAAATAAAAAAAAGTACCTGATTTTATCAATATTACAAAATACAGAAAACTTGTACAAATACAAGGTTTTGGGCAGCCTTTCAAAATGTGTTGTATTTAAACACAGAAATGTTAAAAAATTTACATTAAAACAAAGTACATAAAACACCTGGCTAATTGCAATAAATCTGTCCAGTCATATCATACTCAGGTGCTTAAAGCAAATAAATATTATGGTACATAATTTGAGAAATAAATATGACCCCAGTTTCCTATTATAAATCCTGGAAACAGAAATTTTCATTTATAACTTAAAATCACTAACAGAAGTCAGTGAGCAAATTCTAGGACTGTTAGTTTAGTATTACTACTAGTTTAGTATTACTACAGTAATTAGCAATAAAAATTAATGTTGAAATAAACACCATTAAAGCTATATAATTATAAAATAAATAAACTAACTTTCAGTAATTTTAAGTATCAAAACAGATAAGCTGGTTAAAATATTTTTGACTTTCATTTCAGCCAAGTAAAAATTCATTATGACTGGGACCGACCATCTTTACTAGGGCCATGACAGCATGAACGATCATGATGCACTACTAACTTTCTAATTCTGTGTAAACTTAACCAGAGGAAGACTGAAAGATACTTGGTATAGAACAATAGAGAGTGATATGAAAATAAAAGACTTGGACAGAACAGGGGTTGAAGAATGGGCAGAAAACCAAAAGCAGTGAACAGCTTTTACAGCTGCTCTGTGGACCACTTGTGGTCAGGAAAGGACTGATGATGATGATGGTGTGTAAAGTTAACAGAAGTTGATCTCAGCATAAAATCAACATCTTATTAATTTTGAAAAAAGAAATGCATACTTCGTGAATTCATTTCACAGAACTTGTCTTATACAATTTTTAAAATAATTCAACATAATAATTTCACACACACACGCATTACATCACGACACTGATATCCACTGGAAAAGCTTCATCTATTTTTATTGCAATTCTTTCAGTCTAACTTTCACACAGTTCGACTATACAATCAGTTTATCCAAAGTCTGGGATCAAGGAGGATTGTGAATAACAACGGAGGGTGAATAAAAAACTAGTGGTAACAATTGACAAAGAGTAGCAACAGATGGAGAGTAAAAATAGAGTGACAACACATCAAAGAAACAGAAGTAGCAACAGGGTTTGAGTAATATCAAACATGACGAAGAGTAACACCACATGGAAGTAGCAACAGATGGAGAGTAAAAATAGTGACAACACATCAAAGAAACAGAAGTAGCAACAGGGTTTAAGTAATATCAAACATGACGAAGAGTAACACCACATGGAAGTAGCAACAGATGGAGAGTAACAACATGTGAAAGTAGCATAACGAATATTTGCTATAAAATGCTATAAGTGATATATATACACTTATATCAATGCTATAAGTGTAGCTACCAGTTTAGCCACTAATTTTGATTTCATTCCTTTAACTTGCACACTCAATCCTTTTTCAGCTGCACCTTTTTTTCATACCCAAGGTGTTTTTTATTAGATTAGTATATCGAGTTATTACTGTTTTTCACTTTCCCATCAGTCCAAGTATTGAAATATTTCCATTATGATTTTGATTAATTAAAGTTTATTCAACTTAATTGTTCAACGTTACAACTCACAAATATAATCAGCTAATGAATATTAGTGTTTCCACTTTTTACATTCATTATATTACTTTAACATTCTGTTCACTAGATGGAGTGATGTATTGATCTTGTGAAGCCTATGTTATATCAGTTCAGGTCATAATGGTCATTACGTAGATGTGATATGTATATATATATATATTTATCACTCTCAGAATGTATAGCTGGTAAAATATTTTCAAGACTTTAGAAGTAACCACAATTACAACAAACAATTAAGTGAGGAGGAGCGTTTCTTTCTGAAGTTATTTTCTCAATGTTTATAAGTTTGGATGAAATTAAAATACTTTAACCTATTGAGAAAAATTATGAACAAAAATACTTAATCATGGAATATGACAAAGCACTAAAGTGTGATGGCTTTCTCCTTTCAATTTCAAGCTGTTCTCTGTTAATGTGCAAATATAAATTTCTGGACTCATTTTGTTTATTCGTTTGAGTTGCAGCTGGTACTTAAGGTCAAACTGTTACTGCTCTAGCCATGGATGTTTTTCTCATTTGGAGAACTAAAGGCTAATTGGGTTTTAGCTTTATGGATTGTTTTATATACAGAAGTAAAAAGCTTGGTTAAAAAACTGACTATGGTTTTTCTAAAGGTTACTAACTTCTGAAAGGTGGACAGAATTGATCAGCCATTGGTCATTATGGGCTATTCATGTTTCACATTTAGCTATGAATTTGTCAAACTATATAATAATGCAACAACATTATAATGCAACCAACATGGCTTCCAACATATCTAGTCTGCAAACAATTTATTAACCATTATCCAAGGGTGAGAAAAGTTTTTGAAAGTTCGATGAAAGATGCATCACAAAGTCATTTTAAAAAATTTACATTTTGTTGAATATTCAACATAGTTTCAGTAAGGTAAAATCTTGCTTTACTAATCTTTTGATATACATTGAAGAGGTTACTGTTTATGTAGATGGCAGTATGATTGTGGTTTTTGTGTATCTAGATTTTCAGAAACCATTTGACAAGATGCCACAAAAAAGTTTTGTTTACAAATATACACAGGTGTGGGGGGATACATTGGCTCATTGGACAGAAAAGTAGTTAGATGTGAGAAAGCAAATGATTATTACAAACAGAGTTCAGCCAAACTGGATTAATGTGATAAGTAGGATACCTCAGGGATCAGTGTTAAGACCTTTGATCTTTTTTTGATTTACATTAGTGATACAAGGCCAATAAATTACTGAAATTTTCTGATCATATTAAGGTCTTGGGCATTGCTAGCTGTGAGGAGGATCCTGTTGGTGAGATGGGTAAATAAATGGTAAATGCATTTTAATTACAACAAATGCAAAGTAATGCATGTTGGTTATCATAATATGAATTATATGTATAACTAGCAGAGTGCCTGGCATTGCTCAAATGAAAATGGCTTTAAATATCCTAAGTTGTTTTTATTAAATCAACCATATTTATCATGATTTTTTTGCAACCAAATCAAAATGATTTCTTTATCTAACTAAATATTTTGATTAAAATCAATAAAAATAACAAAGTACAAATAAATATATAAAGTAATTTTAATCTAAACAAAACTGGGTACATTGCTCCTGCTTCTTGCGTGTGGTTTGCTTGACATTTCAAGTTTCCAAAACAAAATTCCCTATATTTTGGTGTCCAGATTTCTGTTGTGTGGTCAAGTGTCGTTTACAGCGTATTCTGACTTTATCATCGTTCCATTTAATGAGGAATTGATTTATTCTCTTCTCGTTGCAACACAACGTAAATGAAAATTTGCCGATACCAAATGTTTTTGTAAAGTCATCATATAGCTGATTCTTCCAAGTACACGCATGCAAAGCAAAAAATATGGCTGAAGCAAGCCTATTTAGTTGAGGGAATGTGTGTGCATGTTCAAGAGAAAGCAACAGCCTTTTTCAGTTAAGGGGAGTTAGAGAGTAGGCACATATGTGTAAAAGAAAGAGAGAGGGAGAGAAAGAGCAGAAGTGAAGACTCCACAAAGTTTTTTAAATTGTTTTAACACATAATTGATCATGAATAGCATGATTAAGAGAAGCCCTCAGACAGAGAAGAAACATAAATAATAGGCCTCTTGATCACACATTACATAACAAATCTGGCCTTTTCAATTTGAGATCAATTGGTCATTCTGTTTGGCAAAATTTTTTATATTGATCACTTTTACCTCCATTAATGGCCTCAAAATGGGCTCTGAGGCCACAGCCACATAGCCCATACAACTTTCTGCACAATGTTTTATCTGTACCCTGAGTTTGGAGTTTTAGAGGTGTGGTCATGCATAAGAATAGACCCAGAGAGAGGAAGAGACATTTGCACTTATGTATATAAATTTTGATAGGAATAACCTTAACAACATTAAGAAAGAAAATTATCTTGGTGTTCTAACTGATCAGTCTCTTAAGCCATCCAAGTAATGTGCTGTTGCTAGTGGTAGGGTAAATAGGATTTAAGATTGTATTTGCAGAAAAACTGAAAATAAGTTGGTTATAATTTCATTGTATAGGTCACTGGTTAGGCCTCATTTGAAGTATTGGATTCAGCCTTAGGCTTCTTACCTAAGAAAAGACACTGAATCACTGGAAAGAGTTCAAAAAAAGAGCTATTAGGATGATACCTGGAATGGAAAGATTGTCGTAAGAAGACAAGTAAAGATCTCTTAAATTGTTTTATTTTGAAAAAAAAAAGA